TATGCTTTCGTTTTTGAGCACTGGGGTCTCTTATTGCTAGGGGTCCGCAAGTTTAACACTTACGGTCTGAAGCGCGCATTTAGAGATCCGACCAAGGGAATTCATGTCTGTTGTTGCTTGAAAGCTTCGGAGACCTGCTCGAGGTTGCCTACAGTCAGTCAGCCAGACTTCAAACGCCTGCGACTGCAAGAGGCAAAAAACTGAGATTTGCAGCTTAGAAAAAGGGCCAAGCCTGTAGCTCTTCACTGGCCCAGAGCAAGTTTCTCATGCTTGGACTCAGAAGTTCGCAGGTGAGGCCCGCCGAATCTGGCCCTACCTCCTCTGAACCCTACACCCGTAACTTCGAACCCTGAACCCTGTCCTATCTGGGGCTTCGATCCTTCGAATCTGAGCCCGAAGTCTCCACAGCCTACGTATCCCTCAACCCCCCTCTTTTGCTCCCTACACCCCGAGCTCAGCCCCTATGTCAAGTCACGATCCTCATGCACTTCAGGTAAACTTCAGGCATTTCCAGCACTACCAAGCCAAGCATCACACATCGTCTAAGCCCTAAACACAAACCCCAACGCCTAAACCCGAAGCCCTAAAGCCACGCTCTGATTTCGGCCCTCCGACGTTCCAAAGCTTTCACCAAGCATCCCCTGTTTTCGGAGATCGGAGCTCCCCAGCAGCACAAAGAACAAGGCCTCACATCTACTGAGCAATCCTAAACGTTAAGGTTCGTATGGCCTGAGGCTGGAATCAGAATTCCAAGGCTTCCCGAGCTCATATGATTGAATCCTTCCTAGACCCCTATTTATCCCGCAAGCGAAGATATGGACGTGCCCCATGAAACCTGCCTTGCTTTCCCGAGGGTACACAGGCCATCCACAATGGCCGCACCTGAAAGTTTCGGGAAACAAACAAGATCCGCGCATTCCTTTCCGGAGGTCGTCGGGTGTGGGAGTGGGGTTTAGGTAAGAGTGTCGAGGATTCCGACCGAGGGTTCGGAGTTTCGGTACGATGTCAACTCTGTCCTGCATTATTGGTTCGGGCAGTCTAGCGATGAAGCTTGACTTGATTGAACCCTTGATATTTTATAAGTGGTATCAGGGACACAACCCAACGCATCGACCCGAAGCCCTAAAAATGAAGCTCCTTGGCAGAAGCCGCAATCCCGGCCGCAAAAGTTTGTGATTTTTTCTCTTTGCAGAGGGCTCTTACTTCTTGAGCAGAACCTTCATCCTACCGTACCCAATGAAGCCGCATGATGTCAGCGGTATAGTAGTGATACCACCACTGACATGCCCGGCGGAAGCGTTATTCTGTTTGATTCTCATCTCGGGGAAAGCGACAGCAAACAAGACTTAGGAAAGAGGCAACTTGATGGTAATGAGCGGTCGCCATACGCTTGCCAGGAAAACATGCAACACGACCACCAGAAGAAGACGAACGACTTTACACGACCAAAAGGTGGCATGGATCCTAATTACCACGAACGGTCGTCCCTCCGCTTCTTGCCCTGGATTCCGAAGGCAAATTCGAACCTCAGTTTAACTTTTACTTTTGGCACGCCCCGAGATGCAATTCAATTAACGAACTAGGTACAAGTAACACGGAAAACGGTGGGCTGCTTACGACAACGATGTCGCAAATCGTGTGGGTAGATACCCTCTCAGCCTAAGCCCCCAAACCCAAGGCCGCAAAACAAATCACAGCCCCAGTCGCTCGACGCACTTCGGGATTGTCAGTGGGTCAAGGTCTGCACCGTCAGGAGACTCCTTCGCTGAGATGCTCATTGCTCAGGTGTTCTTTTCTCATGATCGGGGGGAAGGTGTTATAGCTAGATTTCGAGAGTGCAAGTCTGCTATTCTGGTTCCCGAATATAAAACCTCGGCACTCTTGGATTCAATCTTCGGTGTTTGTGGGTTCCGGGCCGAATTTAAAAACTTGAATACTTTGCTGCAGTTGGACATAGGCAAGGAGTTGGGCATTACTCCTTAGGGCCTTAGGGTTCCTCAATATTTAGAGCACAGAACCCTCCAAAGCCCAAACTGAAACGCATACGCATTCACAGAAACGTTTCGTGTGTGAGAAAGCCGTAAAGGGGGGGGAGCTGCAAAAAGATAAGGTTCTCCAGGCAATCACAAACACTCGAGCTGATGCGTGGGGCTTTGGAGTGGAGTTTGAAGGTTTCAGGGTTTATAGTTTATAGGGTTTAGGATGCTTTGGACTTTGAGTCGAACACGGGGTATCGCGCCTAACGATGCAAGGCTACGAAGCCCTACAAGCACGAAACCCACGCTTGGCTTTAAAGTTCTCAGAGTTGAGGGTCTCTGGTTTAAGGCTTACAGGCCCAGGCTTGCAGGCTCCAATCGTACAGAACATGATCGAGGGTCTGGGTAGTGGGTGATAGTATTCCGTACAGCCCCTGTATAATCAAACTATAATCCAGCGCCCCCAAAGCCCCATTCTGACTATGAAGGCCTCTATATTCACCTGAGATCCATAAGGCTTTTGATCAACAAAGCTCCTGCAACTCCGTGAACTTGGCCCGGAGCATGCGGGCATTCTCGACCTTATGTTTGGGATCTGACTGGGGTTTAGGGTGTTGGAGCTGGGAAGGTGACGGCTGTTTTTGTCTATCGAGCTCGTGTATGCAGGTAGTTTGTTTGTTTGCTGCCCCAGTTCGCAGCCTCCGGTGACGAGACACTGCTGGCAAGCAGGCCCAAATTTGATGGGGTCTTGCGGGGCTTGCACGCTGTACAATTAAACACGCACCCTGTATACAACCCAGAGGCCCTGCAGTACTCATACAATGTGTGTTCCAGAAGAGCATGAGATCGCAACCCAGAGCCACCTCGACCAGAACAAACAAGACAAGACCAACACCGCACAGAGCTCGAAGACCCCACCTCGGAGATCCTTTGCAACTCCCTAGCGACCCCTATCATCCCCCGAACTCGCAAAATCCAAGGGCTCTTGGACAGTAGCTCCTTAGGCGAGAGCTCGAGAGACGGCTTTGCTCTTCTTCTGCATGGCCAGCATTGTCGCAACGTTGTTGGCGTTGGTCTCAGGGCGACTCTGCGATTGAGGGCACAGTTACAGTTTGCATTCGCTTGCTTCGGGCTTGGGATTCGGGTCTGGGATCTTAGGGTTTTGGTCTTAGATTTGGATTGGGGTCTTAGTACCTTGGATTTTGGATTTGGGATTGAAGGTGCAAGGCTGGGGGCTGAGGGTGGGGTTTAGTAACTGGTGTCTTGCGGCCAGGTCAAGCCTCGTCACTAAAACTTTTGCAGCAAGACGGTGTAGCACATTCTTTCAGTTTCGCGGTAGCTTGGATTCCTGGCAGAAGCCTTGAACGAGAGGGAGCGCAGTCTTTCGGTTGGGCCCAGAAGCGAAGGGCAAGAAGGGCGGTTCTCTGACACCCTGCCGTTCCATGCCATTCTGCGCTTGCATCTTCTCTTTACCAACTCTAAACCCATGTACCCATGTACCGGCAGACACCCAGGCCCAAAGTCTTCCGAGCAAAGCGAGGGCCCCCGAAAGCAAAGGAGCTGGGCCTTCGGTGGAGCGTTCCGGCCGGAAGCGGCCATACGGGTGGTGATGGTCTTCGTGCTTGGGACGGCATGGTGTCCGCCTCGAGCGAGTGTTTTGGGCTTCAGGGGGACATGGAATTTTTGGGTCTGTTGTTCCGAATTTGGACTCTGGGTCTTAAGATCTTCTTCGTCAGGCTTAGGGTTGGAGTGGAATCCCCGGCCGTCACTTTCACATTGCAACCAATGGCCGGCAGCTTTGCATGACAGACTCCGATGCAGTTCGATGCAAGGGCCCAGTCTCAGAAGCAGCCGGACAAGAAACTGCAGCCCTGGATTTGTGCAGGTCTTCCCAACGCGAAACAAGTAAGCTGCAGCATGTGTCACGAAATTGGTCCGGAACCCTCAACCCCGCAGACCCAACAAGCTGCCAAGAACACGGGCCAAGAAAACTGCCGTGCCGTTATTCGAAATCGCGGGCTTGCAAGTGTTTTCAAGGCTGCGCCTTTCCAGACTCCTCTATAAAATCTCTGGGAACGATGAGAGATAACAGGTTGATGCTGCGGCTCTAGATGGGGCGGTGCTGCTCGAGATTTTCTAAAGGCCTTCACTCTGAGAACCTACGACGTAAGATTCCGCGAGCCGACGTGAAGAATCTGTAATCAACGAAGGACGATAAGATGGCTGCAGCTAGATTTACCGATTCGTTGCGGCGGTCCAGGGACCGAGGGATCGAAGTTTAGGGCTCGTCACCTGATTTCCCCCCTCCACGCCCTCTATCCGACTCAGCTTCAGGCTCATCGCTGACGGTGCGGGCGTCCGAAAAGATGAATAAGATGGCTTGGTGCTCGAACTCCGCTGTTGAGGTTGTGTTGCAGACGTATCTAGGCTACAGCTTCGCTTAGGCAGCCGATATCAGCACACATGATCGGTGTGTGAAGTTCTGGGGCTCGCGACTGGATAACTACAGCCTGTATAAGCCCACCGGCTGCAGAGCATGCATCCTCTAACTGCCACCGCATACAGCAGTTGCCCAGACACGCTCAATTACAAACCCAATACCCTCCGTTTAGTTCGTGGGGCTTCCATATCGGGCGAAGAGGGATCCAAACAGGGTTCCAGACCAGACTGGGTCCCACAGTATATAGACTTCAGATAGTGTGAAATCCTGCGGGTCCATGTGACATGCAGTCAACAGGCACAAGCCTGCGTGAAAATCCAAAACCCGAAACCCTAGAACCCAAGCCCAAAGCCCTAAACGCAAACACCGACAGCCCTTGAAAGCCACTCTAGACAGGGACGGTAACTAAGGGCATCCCACCCAACAGCTTATTTGGGGTGGCTTTTTGGTAAAGCCCTCAGAAAGGGCTCGAATAAATCGAACAGGGTGTTGTGCTAAGGATTTATACTAACTATTCAAACCTCAAAACCAGCCGCGCAAACCCGAGTCGAAAAGCATAGCAGCCAGAGATCTCGCCCTATTTTTCAAGCAGACTCGGACTCCCGGGATCGTTCGCCGACAGCATACCTCAGGCTTGAAAGGTCAATCTTTAGGGTCAAGTTTTTGGGCCATGGTCCAGGGTTTCAGCCGTCATGGGTGAGGTTGGGAGGAACTCAATCGTAAAGATACAGCATACGACACACGTCACAAATTTCCTGATGTTGCTTGGAGTTTCTCGGCTTTGATGCTTGAGGGCTACTGAAGCCTAAACCTGAGTCAACTCATTGCACGCAGAGTGCCCTCGATGTTCTGAATGCCCCATGATTCAAAGCCCACTAATTACTGCGAACTGGAATCCCCAATCCTTCAGCCTTGGGCAATTTGCCCGTAAAGTAAAGCCAGAAAATCAGCGGAGGATTTAAATTCTGGAGGTTTGCATTTGCTGTTTCGAGTTTATTGCGAGGCCGTTTACCCTGAACGTCTGCACCCCTCCCACCCCCACCCTGAATTGTACACGCGACCCGGAGCACACATCGAGCCTACGTCGACTTCCCGGGGTGGTCTTTGGGCCCGTCGGCCGTGAACGCCCAATGAAACCAGGAGTCCTACAATCTGAAACCTGCAGCGCTAAACTCCCGAAGTGCCGAAGCCGAGCGACGTCTGAATCAGCTCGATAAGTTCCTCGAATAAACACACCACGGGTGACTATACGTGGGGCTTCATATAACGGGTGTCTAAGTAAGGGTTACTGTAAGGGTGGGGATAAAGGCTACTGCAAGGGTCTCCTTTAGGTTTGCGAAAAGCGGGTGTTCTTTTTGTTTAGCGTTTAGGACTGTGGTCCATGATTTGTGATTTGTCTGGCTTGGCTTGAGAAACTCGGCTTGCAGGATGCAGTAAGGATGGTGTGAGCATCAAGTTTCCGAAGACCCCCTACACGAACCCCTGAAAGCCTTGACCGTATAACCCAACAGCACACATGATCTAAACCCAAAACCTTAACCCCGCCAAAACCTGAACCTTCTGCCTAAACGCTCGAGTTCACCGAAACATACCGAAACCCTAAGGTCCTTGTTTCGGATAACGGAACCCCGAATGATGCACCTTTAAACTTGAAACTCTTTGGCCCCAACTCCAAGATCCCTAGCCCAAACCAAAACCTGAAGCCCCAGCCGAAACGGTATTCCGTAACCCAAAACCCTGTAAGCCTTCTGAACCCGCACCCCCCCCACCCCCGGGATCCTGCTCCGAAATACGAAGCTTCAGCCCCAGAGCATTCCGCTCACTGAGGCCTGCACAGCGATATAAGGTTTCGGGCTCAGGGTAGCCGCTGCGAGTTTGGGGAGAGACAGTTTCCAGGATTGAGAGAAATGGCATTCAGTCTATGCAACGGTAGGAAGCAGCCTAGACGGCTTTGGCGGACGCCAGCCCCTGCAAGGCCACCCCTCAAACTATTGGACTTGGACTTGCGGCATCTCCAAGGAGAGCCTGTTGCGTTGATGCGACAGGATACAGCATGCACCGATCAAGTAGAACATCAAAAAACCGGCAAGTACCGCATGGGCGGCTGACGGCTCAGTTCCGGCTGCAACTCCAAATTAACAACTCTCTCCTCCATCCACTTCTGTACCTCTTGCTCGTCCAGTGTGCAAGTGACCAACTTGACATGCACCTTGTTCAACTTACCAGTGGCTGTCCCTGTGTTTTGACATGCCTTCAGTGTCCGATCTCTGGCTGCACGCGCTCACAGTTTCCAAGCCCTTCTGAAGTTGCTCTGATGTCAGCTCCTGCTAGCATGAGCAGTCCGTATGCGTCTGAGCCAAACTGCTCCCTTCCGTCCTGTAATTATCCAACTTCTGAACGAAGGCTCTAATGCACGGCACCGACGTACCTGCTGAGTAAAGTGGGGTATATGGTTCGACTTCAAGTCCGAACAACATTGTTTGCTTCCCTGCGTACATCCCGAGCAAAATTGTGCTTGGGATCCTCGGTGCGATCTAATTTTGAACTTCTTGAACTGCAAACATCCCTTTCCCTCTGTCGGCAACGCTCAACATAAAGACTTAGACGCCGAGTCTGTTAAGAATCATAGGAACCTGAAACCCCAAACCCCTGATCTCCAACAGCCCTGTCCGAAACCCTGAATCCTCAAGCCCCAAGACAGGAACCCCCAAGCCGAAGCAGCAAATCCTAAAACCTCTGAGGCCTGCCTCCGGCTTTCAACTGCTCTCGGTCGGCGGCGAGTGTGGCCTGTGCCACTCTGCCATATTGAGTTTTGTTGTGATTTCGAGGATTCGAGAATTACAGATCTGGTTCTTACCGTCAACAAAACACGAATTACTGGTAGAAGTCTTTAATGAAGGAACTATGAATGATAAATACCAGCGTCGCAGAGTTTCGAAGAGGGCCTCGAAACTGTCAATGTGGATGGGGGCGGGGGGGCGGCTGCATTGCGAGAATGGGGCTTTGGGGGTGGTTTTTTGTTCGTCTTGTGGGGACCCGTAGAAAATTTCTGTTCTATGTATGCAGACCCCTGATAGTCTTTCAGCTCGAACCAGAAAACAGAGCTGAGCCCTTCTAGATCCCTAAAAAAGCTGAGCCCCAACGCCCAAGCTTGAAATCCGAAACTTGAACCTTGCACCAAGGCTTCCCTTCCAACAGCCTGACAAGGCAAGAAGCGATGGGTCACCGTTCGACACTTATGTCTTTCGGGTCTATAGGCCTAGGGTTTATAGGGTTTCAAGGTTTTGGTTCGGGGTTTGCGGCTTCTTGGATGACTCATACAACTTACGTCTAAACCACAAGATGCACACACGAGGCTGTAGTCAAGTCGCGGGATACTCCGACGCTCGCCGCATGAGGGCAGCCTGGCTGACATGATCAGGTCTATGTCCACCAGGAGACAGAAGGAGAAGGCTTCGGACAACAAGGAACTATAATATAGACCCGAAGTGACCGGATGCTCAGTATGAGTACGAAGAACGAAACACCAACAAGAACTGACGCATCCGAATATTGCAAAAGACTGGGATGCTGAGTCTAACCCCGAAAAGGAAGCAAACCCATGAAGCTCTGAAACAAGCACATTCAACAACGCTTGACAGGATTCGTGCCGGATGGGGCAGCTTTCGATCCGGAGGTTTCTGTTTCTGCGACCTTTTGGGCCCTGCGCGTCGAAGTGATGTTCCCCCTCATTCGTTCCTTCCACGGAAGACCACGAAAGAAAGGCCCATGCTTGGTAAAGAACGCAACTAAAGGCCAGCAGTTGAAAGCCTGCATGGGCAGCATGCCCACCAAAAACTCCATAAACCCTTAAGCCCCAAACCACCAAACCCCTCTAACAAGGGTAAGGGTTGAATTCCCATGCGCAACTGCAAGCTGAGCGAAACCCTTTCAGAGGTTCGGCAAAGTCATATGAACCCTGTAGGCTCTGTATCATCCACATCATATGTATACATCTCTGATTTCGCTAATTCTCTGAAAGCCCCAAACCCACTGCCGCACAGCCCGAAGCCGTCCTCTAAGACTGCGTACGCCTGGGACTCCACTTCAGGAGACTGCCTGGAGGAAAGCCGCAATATGGTGTCTTTGGACTATGGTTTGAGGGGGGGATATACTATTTCTTGATAGTCTCCAGAAGCACCTTGTTGCTGGCGAACTGAAGCTTCTGGGTGTGCAGCGTAGAGGGTACAGGGTGTAGCATTGTCCGGGACTCGACTGCTCTTCATACTGATATGGGGACTTTCAGGAGGCAGTAATACTGCTATTCCCGAAAAAGGCCCAAGAATCTTCAAACCTTTCATCTAAATTTGAACTTCCACTACATGAGGTACTCGACGAACAGGTTTAGAGCTAATAGGGTGTAGGGTTTCAGATGAAAGCGTTCAGGGGAAGAGACATCGTGCTCACGGATCTTGCTCTTCATTCGGATTGAAAGGTGCCATTCAAAAGAAGGAGTACTAAACCCTGAAAGCCCTGTAGACCGTAAACCCCTAAACCTCAACCCGCAACACACCAAGCCTCGGGACCAGCTCTTTGGCATCTTTCGGCAGTGGCTCCTCGTCGCTCCAAGCCAGGGTGCGTAGGATGGGAAGCAGCCTCGGAGGCTGGTTCCGAGTGGGTTGAGAAGCTTTGAACCGGCATCTTAAGCCTCAAGAACCGGCACTAACCCTAACCATGGTCATTGTGATTGCCGCCGTCATCATCATTATATTCTTCTTGCTGTTCTTCTTCATCGTCACCACAACCATCACCACCATTACCATCACCACAACCCATCACCGCTGTTGCGCTCTGCCTTCGCCATCAGCACCACTACGACATCCGGCCGCTATGGGGTGGACATCCTAACCATTTCAACCCCCAAAGTGAATATCCTGAAACCGGAAACCAGCTCCTAAATTTCTAAATCCTATACCAAAGCCCGCCCTCGAACAACTTCCAAAACCCTCGTCAAAGCTCCTCGGAATCCCGAAGCAAGCCAGTGTTGTAAATCCGTCAAACTAAATCCTCTTGAAGCATCACCCTCTAAATTCTAAGACTGCTTACATGCCTTCCTTCCCTGTGAAGAACTCCGACCTCGGCTCCCACTCCCGCGGCCGCAAGGCGAGCTTGAAGATGGCACCCTCGAGGGGTTAGGCGTTCGAGGGTTCTCGGATTTAGGATTTAGGAGTTTTAGGGTTCGGAATTTTTTTCCGTGCTTAGGGTTCAGGGCTTCGGGACCCTGGAGTCGACAATTGCCTCAGGCTCGGCTCCCTCCAGCAAGTCCTGGATCAAGGCCATCTTCCTCGTGACAACTTCGGACAACGGCTTAATAGGGGTTGTCGCTCGGGTTTGAGGGCTCCCTTGAGGAGGCTTCGGCCAAGGCGGCATGGGGCGTAGTGGTACTGTAGAGCTGCTGGAGTTCAAACGCAAAGGAACACTATCAAGTCATTTAACAGAACCATTATGGTTGCAGGCTTCCTGCGTTGAGGTCGAGAGCTTTCCGTTCTGCGGATTTGGGGCTTCAAGGGTTTAGGGGATACGGATTCTTGGGTTTCCCTGAACCCGAAGCCCTGAACCTGGGCTATATAGAAAGTTGATAGGGTCAGGAGCCTCTCTGCAGGAACCCAGCGAAGGCCCTGGAATTCACTTACTTACTGACTTCCGACCTAGGTTTAGGGTGTTTCCCTTTCAGCGTTGGTGGGACTGGTATGACGGTACTATGATGTAAACACAACCCTGCAGCTACTGTCTCCGTTGCCTGGAGCCTTGTTGGGCGAGTAGAGCGTTTGGGGAGCAAAAGCATTAATCTATGAACTTGTAAGTGTTAAACCGGACGAAGCCTTGAACTTTTAGCGAACTTTCCCAGTAAGCCCGGGCACAAGCCTCGCGTCTCTGGGTCTAGAACTAGACCATCAACGGCTAATCTCGCAGACCCCAACTCCTAAAGACTTCAACGAGGCCCCGAATCATAAACGGCCTTTGTACTAAATAGACTGTTGGAAAATCTGCATCGCAGCTTCTGAGCTGCGTTTTCACCTGTGGCCTGCAAATGCACGCCCAAGCGGATGTAAACCGCCTCTTGCCCATTGTCTGGATCAACGAAGCCATACCTCAGCACCGTAAGGTTTTAGAGGGTTTCGGGTGCAGGGTCCCAGGGTCCCAGGGTCCCAGGGTCGTGCTTAGGATTTGGACTTAGGGCTTTAGAGCCTCAGGCCGCCACTCGGGCTCGGCGGCCAGGCGGAAGAATCCGTGTTTCCTCAAACCTTCAAAAGCCCAGATCACTATTATTCCTTCTCAGGCACAGTCTGCAGTGACTGCAGTGTTACCAGAACCTCTCTGCCTAGCGGTCCTAGGCCTGCGCGGAGGCAAGTCCGAAGCACGAAACTGCATGTGCGGTAGACCTGGCCCTAAGTTTCTCAAACTAGGATGAAATCCGGCAGTTTCCGTTCTGACCGGTCTCGTGCTTGGTAAGGTGCCAACAGTATGCACGATAACGATGTGTGCCCTAGCCGGCACATGCTAAGCCTGTACTTCATCCTGACTGAGTTTCCTGTAGACCTCGAAACCCTTCCAGCCCCGTAAGTCCACCAAAATCCTCGGAACCCCTGTCAGCTAACGGAGCACGAACCCTCTGAAGAAGGTAAGGCTAGGTAAGGTGCTGCGACAGCAACTCGGCATTGCTCTTCCCGCCGTAGCTTACCCAGACTTGCTCACCCACCTCAGGCTTGGTGTGCTTGCCTAAACTCTAAACTGCCCCTTAATACCCAATGCTGCAGCGATCACCGACTGAAGGCTCTAACACTCTAACAAACCTCAGGCTTCGGGTGGATGATTCGTAGCTGTCTTCTCACCGGCAGGGGCTGGTGCCGTCTCCGCAAAAGACCAAAACGAAGAGCCCTGAAATGAAAACCACAATACTCCACATACCTTCAGCTTCGTACGGGGCTTCTTGAGACAAGGGTATCTCATTCAGGGCTGTTATATCAAGGGTCTTCTTACTTACTTAGGTTCTGACATAATATACTGCACTGACTCTCAAACCGAGCCAAAGCCGGCACACGTCGTAGTGCTTGTGGGCGTAAGCAACGATGCCGTTGCCAAACCGCGTCAGCTGCAGGGCGCCCGCGCGGTGGTTCCTGGCGCTGCTTTGCTTCAGACTTGGCGTTCAACTGAAGCTAACAAACTTACAAACTTAATGCTATAAACCCCAAAGCCCCAAAACCCCAAAGTCTGAACCGTACAACTACAGATTATGCAGCCTCGCGCATACCCCAAGACCTGAAACCACGAAGAAGCCTCAAAGCCCCCAAGGCCGAAAATCTGAAACCAATAGCCATTAACCCTAACAGCGTCAACGCGTACAGCCCTTTAAACTCTAAGCCCCGAGGCCTCAAGCCTAAAACCCTCATCGCCGTACGCCCTGAACCCTGTACTCCGGCCTATAAGCTTAACCAAACAGCAAGAGCCCCCTATCAACTGTGACCGCCAGGCCCATTTAAGCCGCCAAGAAGCAGGAAATCCACCAATGGTGCGATGCAAAGGTGTGTTCCTGGCACAGGGATTCTAGGGTGGATGCATTTTTATGTTTGAGGCTTCAATAACTCCAAGCAGTCCTGGCAAGGTGGGTTCGACTTGTTGGGTTCTCTTGTTGTGTTTTTGAGGGTGTCGCTTTCAGGGGGCTACAACCACAAAGCCGAACAGCTCAACACGCTATAGCTCTTGACCCTGCCGTTGCATGTCACTGCATAGTTCCTCAATCCACAGGAGTCAAGGTGAGTCACAACTACCCTAGAATCCGCCGGCCAGCCCATGGGTAACTTGAACCTCGATGATTCCTGGGCAATGCCTTGTATGCCTCAACCTTCCTAAACCCCGAACCCTAAACCGTTAACTCTGAACTCCAAGCCCTGGTCTGTTAGACTAGCGCTTAATCTGAGGAAGTTCTTGCAAATCTATACTACCCTGAAATTGATATCAGAAGAGCCTCTTAAGATGCTCCATGATCTCTAGACCAATAATTTCGAAGCTTGAATTTCCAGGGGGCCTGCAAAGTGCCTTACATCCTACCTATCGTCTCCATTGTAGTTCCTTCTTTTGGTTAACCAGTTTTATGGTTAGGATCCTATAATGGAATTTTTTGTTAACCCAAAAAAGGAACTACAATGGAGACAAGAGGTAACCCCTGGCCTTCGGCATCATCACCGTAGGCTCGTGAAGCCACGGTCGCAGCACCCCAGAGAAAGCGGTCGAAGGTGAACACATCTCGGCCAATGACGCTTTTGGCGGCTTAGTTCAAAGGACTCCCAAGGTGGAATCGGGGTAGGCGCAGGTATCCTAAATAAGAATCCACGTAAACACAGAAGGCACTCCACAAAAACCACGATGCCATGAGCTTGGAGCCTCCGCTTAGGGCGTGTGTAAGGTTTAGGGTTCTAGGGCCATGCTGAAAGTTAGCACCGCGATGTCGGCTTGATTATGGATAGCAGCCGCCAGCTCAGGGCGAAGCCACACCTGCAGCCCTCTTTAAAACCGGCGTGAAATCCGAGAAAGTGCACTCCGGACTGCCATCCTCTTCAACACAGGGCTGCAAAGGGTCGAACACATGAGTTTCAGCAACCCCAAGCCCAGATACCGATAGGATCTGTTGGAGGCCGTGTTTTGCATCCAAGTCGCTGGAAGGAAACTTCTCCGAGTGTTCCTGGAAGAGCGACTCCTGCAGTAATGAATTTACGCTTTGCGGTTTACGGTTTGTTACTTCTAGGCTTCGGGGTTTGCAAAGCCTTACAAGGGTCGATGATCATGTGGAGTCAATAACACCCCATTATAAGGACAACAAGCGACCCTGAGCCCTTCAGAGAAAAGGAGGTGTGTTAACCAGGGATCTACATTGCCAAGGTTCTCCAACGTAAGCCCTAAACCTTCAACCCAGACCGTTATAGAGTCTAGGTCTAAACGTAATTTCAAGAGTGTTTGAAAAATGGCTTAAGTAAATCTAGGACTTCTTCAAAGTGCTGCGATGTATCGACATGAAGAAAGACTCTGCGTGATTTGGGTTTAAGTTTCCGAGTTTGGGGTGAAGATTGACAACGATTCGGGTCAGGGAAAACGCATCGCTCCGAATTCTACCCTCTAAACCCGAATTGCAGTCCATGAAAAGCTACAGCCTAACAAGCCTGACAACTTTAAAAGCACCCGGGCTTCACTAAAGTCCCAATCAAGATTCCGATTTCTCGATTAGCCCTTCGGGTTTGGCCACGAACAGCTCAGGCCTTAGGGTTTAGGGTTTGAGGTTCAGGGATAACAGTCCATGATTGACATCGGCATAAGTCTTAGTTGCGGGCTGCTGAGGGCTGAACCTGAATGGCCTAGGATATTAGGAGTTCAACCTTAAACAGCAGGGCTTGTTTCGGTGGGCTTTTATGAAGGGTTCGCAGGAACCATGGTTCGGCTGCCATAATTTCGGGATTTGTGGCTCAGGGTTAAGCTTGGGGTTGTCCTGGCAATAGCACCAGTATATCACGAAATCGGCAGCGAACAACAGTCCACTGACGAGACACATTCAGCGCCACATACTCGTCCACAATGGTGTTGTACCTGTAAGCTCGAGGCTCTCACCAGATCTTGAGACCCCACTTGCTTGCAGTCCTTTTCAAGCAGATGGCCTCTTTTGATGCCTCTTCCTTCTTACGGTCTTCGGATTCAAGGGATTATAGGTTTTCCAACTTTGAACAGAACCTGTGTTGAACAGGCCAGTGGTCGATCTGTACTGAGCCGCTTTTGAAGATCCACGTTGCTTTCTCGGAGCCTTTGGGTGCACGGAGCTCCGACGGTTGCTGCTTTCAGAACTGGAAATGCCAAAACGGAACACGCGAAGCTGACAAGGCACATGGCTGCGGCTGCCCCGTAGCCATCACTGCCCTGGAGCCATTCGAGCTCGTCCTCCCAGTGGCAAGTAACGGCTCAGTATCGGGGCTCTGATCATCAAGCTAGGATCTTGAGGCACATGTTAACTAGACCCATGTCTGGGAACCTTCATACTCATTAATCCGACCCCCGCAACCGACCCGCTGCGGCGAGGTGCCTAAAGCGCCGAAATCTTGCATACGAATACGAAATACCGGAAAACCGAGCCAGGAGGCACCCCTTTGAGCTCTTTCCGATACATGTGAAGACTCCGAAACCTCTCCTCCTGTGGCAACCTCGTCAGGTTCCAGAATGCCTTAAGCCAAATCTTTCGGTCTATAAGCTTACATGTCTTGTGCAACAGAAGCCCCCGGAGTCCTCAAGATAACGCTCAGCGAGCATGCACACATTTCGGCCCGGAACGCCCCGTCATCGGAGCGCTTCAGCAAAAGCAGCCCTCAATTCAACGATAGAGAGTCGACATGGGCAGATACTCCCAAATGCATGTTTTTGAAACCAACTCCGGTTAGCAAACCAGGTAACCCTACAACCGAGAAGCTTCAGGCCAGAGCGGAGAACACGTGGATTAATCACGATCGAGTCAAACATCTTCAACCGGAGCCGGCCCTTATCCAAACAGCACGGCTGGAGTCACTGCCGGAGCTTAATCCGAAAACGCTGAACATGACTCGTAACCTGTAACTTCACACACGACAAACCACAAACTTGCGAGCTGATTCACTCCTAAAGTTAAAGCCTAATCCTAAACGCTGACAGCTAACCCACAAACCCCAACTCAAAAACCCTCCCGCCAACACTCTTAACCTTTGCTGTCCTCCGTCCACAAGAAGCTCGGTCCCGACACATCCCCGTCGAACTGAGGGAGGGAGCGCATGTACACAAACCTGGATATCGTGCGGGTTTAGCCAGGAATTCTTCCAGAGCTGCAAAGGTTGTTAAGTGAGTTTTACATGTCTAACCAGGTCCAAAAAGTGTCCAGTAACAAGGTCCAGGGTGGTCAGTGTGAGCTAGATCCTAAGGCTTCATCGGCATTCTTTAGGGCTTTATACGGCATGGTTGATAGGAGGTTTCGGGTTTGCGGATTAAGGGTTTACTTCCAAGTGCTCATGATCAAGCAATATATACTTAGGCCCTCGAGGCCGCAAACAGGAAGGCTGGAAATTCCAATTTGTGAAATGTTTATGTGCCTGGACCCTCACGGATGGATTCTATGCCGTGGTTTTCTTGGCAGCTAAGCGCTCGACCATTTGGAGTCCTTGCCATGAACATATCGCTCCTGCTCGAAACACGCTTAGGGTTCAGCGTTTAAGGCTGCTTAAGGCGTTGGAGGCGAGGACGCAGTCGCGGGTTCTTGTGGTTTACAATTCGCGAGATAGAGGGGTAGCAGCGTGCTGCTGCTTTTGGTGGCCGAAAGATTCAGACATGGAAGTAGCACATCCCACAACATTATTCTAGTCAATAGCCCCCTCTATGGTACGCATCTTGGTAGGAGAGCAGTAGTGTGAAGTATTGCCTGAAACGCGCTGTCTCTAGATTAAGAACCTCAGTCCACAAAACCATTCGGGCTGACCGCGACATTTTAGGGATCTTTACTGAGGCCTGATCCTGTTCAGATTCCATACCTGATCTTTCATGCTAATCTAGCAATTTGGGAAAGGACGGTATCCGCACCCAGACACGCGACCCGATGAAACCCGTAGCTGGTCTCCTGAATGAGCAGCAGGATCAAAGCAACCCGGTCGGAAAGTTCTTCAACCTCGGCTGCTCCCAGGGCTTCGGCTTTGGCGCCCCCCCTGGGATCATAAGGAGATCACAGTTGATTACATGGTTTAGGATTTGCGTAGGTTCTTGGCTATGGAGGCTTGCGTGGCTTGATGCTCTAGGGCCCTCTGCCCTCAATACTAAAACCCCGCAGCACTGAAACCCCAACCCCTCCACAAACCCCTACCCCTGCCACCCTATCCAACCCCCCACTTCAATAAACGGCCAAACTCCAACCTTCGTAAAACCTCAATCCTACTGGCCTACTGAACCTATCCGTGCCATCACCCAGCTTGAAGGATCTAAGCCTCAGCATGAGATCTCAAGCAGACATCGACACTGGGGTTTAGGGCCCGGGGGCTATACACCCTGAAGCAGCCAAGGCACCACATCCCCCCAGATGTCAACAGCCTTCGGCTTGCTGAGCCTCAGCGGCTATATTTAGGAATGAGGTTTTGGGGGCTGGGAGGCTGGTGCTTCCGAACATGAAGGCTTTAAAAGGTTGCAGTTCATTTGACATGGGCTTTGGGCTCACAGGCCTTCGGTTTCGGGTTCAGCGTGCGGCTCTAAAGCATAGGGTGCAAGAACTAGGCCGTAGGAGCTCGAGATTTGGCTTGGCAGAGTCTGGGGGTTCTGGTTCTGGGCCTGGGATTCAAAAAGCTTTCTAAACTGTAAAATGTAAACTCCCAAAACCCCCAAACCCTAATCCCGGAGCCCTAAGCTCTAAACAAAATCTTAACTCCTTCACCCTTAACCCTGAAAGCCCTTTCAGCCGTAAGCCGGGGCGCAAAATCAGAAAAGTTTAATCTTTAATTAAACCCAGAAAACACTCGATGCATCCTAAGCCTTCAGGAACTTGGTTGTTAGGTTGCTGTCTGCAGCTTCGGCTTCTGGGATTTTGTTTTCCATGAGCAGCCCTTCTAGCAGAGCGTGGACCTGTAAGCCTGATCGGTGATCCTGTAAGCCTGATCGGTGAATACTGCCGTGCCTCTCGTAAGTGCCTACACGGTTCCTGGATGTTGCGATGAATTCTCGCCGGACAAAGAGCCACGGCTACTGTACACTCACCAGGATTCCTGAAACTACGAAAAATACACTCATACACACCCACATTCCATGTGTGTGTGTATATATATATATATATCATATCTATCTATCTGTCTTTCTCTCTCTCTCTATATATATACACACATACCTATCTATCTGTATATATATATATATACTCTCTCTACGTCAGATAGGATTCGGACAACCATGAGCACTATGATCTCGAAGACCAGAGTCTCGCACACCGTTCTGACCGCTCGTCTACCAGCAAGATTCGGAAGATCTTTGCACATGTCTGGGCCCGAACATGGGAGCTTGGGGAACCACAGAAAACATCCGAGCCCCCAGTCCTTCAAGTGCTTATCATCCGTCTGGTCCACTTCACGAAATCCCAACTCCAATTCCCAAGAACAGCATCAAATCTCGACTTGGGTTATCAGTTCGCGGATATTTTAACGTATAGGCTTCGACCATACATATCCAGGTATGTATGTAACATGTGTAGGTATATATATGCTCATATATATATATATATATATAATACCAACAGTGTACACACAAATGGATGTACGAATTTCGTGTAGGGTATCATACTGTCGACATCGCTGTCTCTTTACCAACCCCTGGCCAAGGCCGGAGATTTGGAGGAGATTGGTTACTTACAAACTTGCTTACACCGCTTGTCGGGTTCCTACAAGGTTTCTTTCAACAGTGGCTATTCCGACTGAAAAGGTTGCGAACAACCTGAAAAGGAGTCATATAGTGTTCAGCGCCTTGAGCTTCAAGCCGTTTATTGAAAGCCCTATAGGCCCTAAACCCTTGAACCCTAAAGCCCTACACCCCACAGCCCGAAACCCTAAAAGCTTTTTTGCTGAAGAAAGACAGAAGCGAGGTGGGCGCCCAGGCGAGGATGTCCCCTGGGACCTGTCGGCGATAAGTCTGCCGGATCTAAAACCTAAGCCAAATGCCCATGAGCAAGTCTCACATATTGAATGGAGTTTGGTGGTTTGCAAGGTTCACGGCTTCAGTTTCATGAAATTAACAACTTCGTGCTCAATCCTCTATACCAGAAGCATTCGTTATACTCTCTATGTTCGCCTCGGCCCCGGCCGAAGCGGTCAGGGCTTCCCTCTTTCCTCTCCCTTCCCCTCCTCGTCCAACCATCCCAGAACCACCCTGTGAACACGAGCTGCTCGCGCTCAAGCTGCAGCAGGAAAGACGCTGCCCCGGCTGCCGCCCCTCAATGCCCAAAATTCCTCGTCTCGTGCAGATCATTCAGCCCTTACTATATTCTTTTCTGGAGCAAGTATTGTTCTATACTTCATTATCTCACACTATATGCTGGTGCTACTATATTGTACTAATACATTACCGAACCTGCTACGTGGGCTCTGATGTGGCGACCGCTCTCGACCTACGATCGCAAAGCACATGTGCACAGATCAACAGGAAGCTAAGCCTTGCCCAGTTCCTGGATCATAATCTCAAGATTCTCCAAGCCACCAGTTTCGATGTCGCAACGATGCCGAGCTCGCCCTTGGCAAGGTCTTCCGTCGGCTCCACGCGTACCTCCACGCTGTAACAGGGTACGGGCTTGAGGACTTCAGGGTCACCGGGGTCGGATTCAGGGTCCGGGATTTTGAGTGTAAGGCTTAGGTAACCTAGGCTGCATAAGCTTGTGGATGTAGGTTGTAGGCACGGGATAATGCTTTCCAAGACGGCAGCAACGACATGCGGTTAAAATCAAGCATTGTCGGAGCTGGAACTCTCTTGGTCTAAGTGAACCAAACCTTGCAGCTGGTTGAACCTACCTGGTCATTTCATGGGTGTGAAGGGTGGTGTCGCAGTTGGGATTCGGAGCCCTTTCTGGCCTTGGAGTTTCTGATCTTGCAGGGCTTCAGCCCATGGTTGTGGCATGGATCTTGATGCAGGTAAATGCCCTCAAACCTCAGCAGGTCTCTCCTGCGCGCTTTTGCAGAAAGTCGCAAGAAGTGTCCTCAACGAGGACAAAGGTTGCCCAAGTGGCAACTCTGAAAATCTTAGTCAATGACTGGCAAGTCGAACCATGCAGCCTATTCTTGGCATGGGTTTCCGAGAGTCCGAAAGCTGTACAAAGGCCATGACTGTAAGCCAAAGCTGGTAAGTCTGTAAGGCCTTCCATGGGGCCTCCTCACACCACGACCTGTGTGATGCTTCCACAAGCACTCTGGTCCACATCGTTGAGGACAGAAAGGTCGAAGCCCTTTTGGGCTGCGATGGCCCTCACCTGTGGATTGTAAACTCTTCAAGACTTCAGACACAGTAACTGAAGGAGTTTGGGTAACGCTATTCCGATCTGGGTGTCATATGTTGAGCGAGCACCAAATGTTGAGGGTTTAAGGTCTGGCTTCAAGGCCCGTGAGTTGTGGGCTTCAGGGCCCAGGACATCAGCGTGCCTGGCTTCAAGATTTGAAAAACTCCGCACCTTCTGCACCAGGGCCTCGTCGCGCTCCTGCTCGCGCGTGAAGATCCAGAGTCCGGAGCCATTGGTTCCCGATCCGGTCATGCAGCCCGCCTAGGAGTCGGGCTATTTGTCGTGATCCAAACACCTACAAGTCTATCTTATGGTCTTATGGTCGCAAACTAATCTTCTTGTACCATTTGGTACAGTACTACAGGAAAATAGCTCCTCACTACCAAGTGCAGCGTAGGATGTCTCGGTCTTGGGAGGTCGGGCTTGCAATCTTACATAGCTTGCAAGTTAGGACTGCTGTGTTCTGGCAGCCTGCCTCTGCAGGCAAAGTCGGTGCCCCGCCCGAGATCAAAGCATAGCCTGCTGCCTCGTCGTAGTCCAAGACCTTTTCATCGGCTGGGTCTAGACAGCGAACAAACAAAGCCACAGCATGTAGCTACAACATGGGTTTTTGCACGTTCAGTGTTCAAAGCAGAGCTGAGGTGCGTGCACGCACACGCACACGCGCACACACACAGACACACACACACACACACGCACACACACACACACAAACACACACACACACACACACACACACACACACACACACACACACCCGCACGCACACACACCCACACACACACACGCATACATCCTAGCTACGTTGCGTGGTGGCTCGTTCCTAAACCCAGTGCCTTCAACTATGTAAGGCAGCAGCACGATTCTCCTCTCATCCCTGGGAGGTAACCTTCGGCATGACCTGAAGTCCTGAAACTTGCTAATCTCCAGTGTCGTAGATCGACAATGACCCCAGGAGGAAAATCGACACACGTCACACCCGACATCGACGTGCTACTTCTCTCTGACAGGAAGTCTATCAGCCGAAGTCCACCCTAGAGATTGTATGTCTCAAGGTCGCACATGCCGAGATTCCGAGTATGGGGAGGGCCACGACGAAAATGATAACGATGATGCTGACAATTCCCATTGTTACTGCCCTAGTCACGAGTTCTGTCGACCTGACCGACAAAGCTCATCATACTGCTGTTGGGACCTATCTTCACTATCCCGATGGGACTGTCAGCAAATCTGGGACCCTCACATACTGAGATGTGTATTTACATATAGTATACATATGTATGTATGCATGTAAGTAAGTACGTATGTATGTATGTACGTATGTGTGTATGTATGTATGTATGTATGTATGTACGTAGGTATGTATGCATGCATATATTAATATATGTATATACCTCTCTCTTTATATCGTTGTGTACGCTCCCCCCCCCCCGCCCCGAGCCCCCTCCCCATATCCAGTATGTATTGACCATATGTACTTGAGCATTCCGCTCCAACTTGTGGAACTGGCTGGTTTCCCACCTCCCACCCAATGGAACGGCTTGGGGCCTAAGCCTCCGGGCATAGATCTCTAGGGACGGAAAGTTCCCGGGTCTGAGGGATTGACTTGCAGTAGGTGGCGGGAGAAAAGGAGTACTTACAGGACGGAGGGGGGCTTCCAGAACGCTCAGTGCATGACCGCTCATGCATGTGTATGTATATATGTACGCATGTATGGTGCGTGTATGCGTACATATCTGTATATACATGTACACACACATACAAGTATGTGTGTATGGATGTTTATAATTTGTTCACACATACATCTATACGATATGCAGACCCTTGACAATGAAACCGTATAAGAACTGAAACAGAACCCCAAAACCCTGAAGCCTGAAGCTATGAAACTTCAGCCTGACGGCCCAGTAAGGGCCAGCGAGCAGAGTTGGCAGGAAGCAGGGCGCCACCTCCAGCTTGCCACGGGCCTTGTCGACGACCTGCCGAACCACATGGGGCCTTTATTGATGTGAAGGACTTAGGTGTTGTGCTTGGAGGGTTTCTGGCTTCAGA